GTCCGGCAGGGAACACTGGGCGTGGATGGTCGTGGTTGAGGTCCGGCGAGGAGGAGAAGAAGGAGGTGGAGGAGGAGAAGGAGAAGTCAGCTAACATAAAATCTAACAACCCTCACCTGGCTGGTGGGGAAAGACACATTCTACTGGTTCCTGTAAAAAGATCCCTTTTTGAAGGGTTTGGTGGGTTTTCGGTGCCATGAGGAAACCGGCCGTATATGATCGACAGAACTGCAATGCCCACATCCGACAACCCTCCCCTCCCACTTCCTGGCTCGCTCGCTTCATCCTGCGTCCCGCACGCAGGATTGCGTGTGCAAGGCCAATGCGATTGAGACGACTCACGGTCATTGCGTCGCCTGTAGTGTGGGCCTTTGGTGCCCCCTGGGCAGCACCGTGACGTTGCTCCAAAGTGCCAATGGCACCGATCCAAGTGGGCCTCATGTGGAAGCAGGTGGCTTGGAGTGAGCAGTAGCGAGTGGCGAGTGGCTAAGGCTTCCGTGTCACGGTGTGTTTTTGTTTTGCGAGGAAGTGAGTAACAGTGAGTGTTGGTGGTCTGCAGTTATGACCGGACATTGGTCTGTTGAAGGGGGTGACATTGTTGTGAAAATCCAGCAGGATACCTTCTACGCTAGACTATAGTGGTACATATATTGGAGAGTTCGTCACCTTTGACTTCTGCATGTAATTTAGGATCATGATCAGTTCATCATCATCCAGTTGATCCTCTTGAAATGCGCAAGGTCGTGGCCGACTTCGCCCGAAATCGGCCTCCAGCCTTCCCACACAGATGGTGGGAACCGTGCCATGGTTCCGTGCCGCTTGGGTCCACGCGCCCCGCCCCGCCGACGAGGCTATAAGGCGGACGCTGAGAACCCGCTGGAGGTCTACAAGTGCACGGACCTCGCTTGTCCAGGCCCGCCTCGGTCGCCTCGTTGGACCGTTCCGTTGAACCGTTTTGGTGATTGTATTATATACCAGCTGCTTCCAACGGGTCACCAGACAACCTTACCCTACTTATAGAATCTTATAGATCTCCATTGGGCACCCATTGGAAGTGCTAGGTATATATAAAATTTATACGTTGTTTTTTGAATCCCATATATTACAAAGTTCCGTTGACTTGGCTTGGGGCTCATGGCTTGGGGCTCAGCTTTTGCGCGTTCGGAAGATGGTTTTCCAAACACCTGCAACTTGATCGATACGCCTCCAGTCCGGCACCTGCTAGTTCCCACGACAAGACCAGATGGAACCCCACATCCTCAGGCAGGTTGTGTTCTTTTGTCATCAGATCCCTCGATCCTTGATCCCCCAAACCACGTCCATCGTCGGTATTCAAAAAAGGTGATCCCAATCGTGAAGCCCTATGGATCCACCGAACCAGGTCGGTACGGTGAGGACGGAGACTATTGATGTAGGCGGTCTTGGAGGGTCCAAGGACGCCTTCTGAGGTACGGTGGCAGTGGATCCGTAGTGAAGGACAACAAAAACACATCACACCCAGACACTCCATATGGGACTGCCATATTATACCGATCAGGCCAGGCGTGCTGGTTTGGGGGTTCAATGCTATATATTCCACCTCTTTTGAGGCGACGCACCGGACACTGACGCACCGGCAACGGGGCCACTGGAAAAAGGCGCAACCTCGGCGGGCCCCTTTTGGACGACTGAAAGGGATATGAAGGGATCTCGGATGCCTAAGCAGCTGATGATGGAGTTCGTTCATTCGAATGGTCGGTGGATGGACTGAAAGCTAAGAAGAGCCACGTTCTCGCTTGTCGTTGGAGCTCTGTGCTGTTCCACTCGAAGTGCTTCATCTTCTGCTCCTGCTGGTCATCTGAAAAACCTGAAAACCTGGTCCCAGGTGGAGCGCCGGGCACGTGCAATGGCGGCCTCGAGGGACTGGCCTGTGGCAACTGTGCTTCAGGACCGAGGCGAAGCACTATGGGCGCCCTGGCGCCCTTCTCGGCTGCGGTACATGGGCACGCACAACCCCCTTGGGCTCGAACCGAACACCTCACAACCCCTTCTGGCTGCGGAAAACACCTGGGCACGCACCAGCAAGCCCTAGATATATAGGGCTCAGAACGTCCCATCGACCGACCTGACCGGTGGTCTTCGCCCCTTCCCCCTGGCGATTACAGGAGCCCCAGGGAACTGTACAAAAACAGTGACCTTTGTCCGCCAATTGTACATTGAGCACCTTTTTGTTTGCATGAAAGCTACCACTTGGAATTGCTATGATATTGTTTTTCAAGCTTTTGTATTCAGATTTGTTGAAAAAAGATGAGATGTTTGTTTCAAAAATGCTCCACTGGACCTCAACTGGAAGGGTTCTGGTAATGGGTATTTCAATGTATTATATATAGATTATTTACTTGCCGAGGCAAGCTGTGATCCGTTGATTTCCTCCGCCGTCCTTGTGTGTTCTGGGGGGTCCCAGTGTTCAGCGACTCTGCCAACGACTTCCAAGGCTCATCAGCTGCTTCGAAAACCGCCTGGCTGAACGACCCTACACTACTACTTCTATCATACTTTGATATAATTTGATTAGTTGGTCTCCATCTCGGACAACCCGAGGAACAGAAACCCGTGGGGTTTTTTCGTACACTTGGAAGACACTTTACGAACAGAGATTGTGTCCATTGTGAGTTCCCTATAGCCTTCCAGGACTAAAGAATGGGACAGACCTGGTTTAATTCCGTCACCACCTGCCACTTTGGGTCGTCTCCACCCCACCAGACTTTGGGTCGTCCTCCACCAGACGAGTCGGGTATATACGCCCTGTGGGAGCGGATCCAGATCCGCTCTCCGGTGGATCCACAAAGCTCGTGCATCAAGAACCTGGAGCGAACGAACACCTGTAGACCTCCCAGACAATGGCCTCCTGGAAGAAGGACACATAAACCAAAACAACACATAAATTGGATGTGCCCCCATTACAAAATTGCAAACACCAACAAAAACATCACATGCCGGATGTGATTAGGACCACATGTTCGGTGTCCCCAAATTCGTGATTCAACACATAAGTGATTCAACACACCCGCCCGCCATCACCCGCCCACCGCTCGGTCCGAGAGGATTCTATTTTTGGTCCGAGACGTGCCAACGCTGTGGCCTGGGCGCTCCGGTGGCCTGGACCATCGTCTCCATCCTCTTGGCCATCGGTGCCGGCCTCGGGCGCAGAGCGGTGGGACGAGCGGCCATATCGATTCAAAAAAGCAACTGGTCATCCTACTACAGTTGAAGGAATAGCGAGATGCCCCCAGCAGCTGAGATTTCCTAAAACCACTTGGGTGTGTATCAACATAGGAAGACCTCCCAAAGACCTCACGTAGACCAAGACCCGTTTGGTGGTTTCCCTGTTAAAATACACACCCGTGTTTGTTGGTAAAAATCATGTTTTGAACTGCCCGGCTGAAACTAGCATAGAGTGTGAGGAGGCTGGCGTGAAATCAAATCCAACATAATGAAAGATGATTGAAGAGCCTGCACTTGACCCGGACATACATCACCCAGACAGTAGACGTCGCATCGCGGTAGACATACTGCCCGTTAAGCGAAGGCAAATGGTTTGAGGTGTTCGACACTTGGTGGTGGGTCTCTTTGGATCCACTGGCACATACTGGCACTTACAGTCTTCCAGTCTTCGATGATGGTATACAACGAGTTTTAGGACTCACTTAGAGCCTTGACAATGGCAGCATATTTGTAGAGATCCTGATGGTTGAGGTCCTTTCCATGTAATATTTTGAGGAACTCATATGGTTTTTAAGATTGGCCAGGGGTAGTCAACATGGATTTGTGTTGGAATTCCGGGCTCTCACTGAACATTCAAAGCTGTTCTTGACAAACCTCCAGCTTGAAGGGGCAGCTGACATTGAAGAGGCAGCTGTGTCCGTATTTATTTTTTGGACCCGCTTGGGCAGGTCATGCGCACATTGATATGTGCAACCCCCAAAAAACACTGGTCCCACCCAAACCATGCCATAGATCAAGTCAGTATCACACCCTTAACCCAGATTAGTCACTATCCAAATCTCCTGACATCTTATGCCAAGCACTCCGATGCTAGGAATGTATGCCTACATTGACCCCTGTCAACCACCCCAAATGCAGCAGCCTCACAGGTATTTTCATCTCCTACTACCCCTTGTCCTTCCCCTATGTCGCGAAAGCCAGCGCCTTCTTTTCGGCCACCGCATCCTTTGGCATTCTGTCGCTCGGCAGAAACAGTGCTTCCTGCGACGCATGCGATGCTTCCTGTCCCGGAAATCCCCCTTTTTCATGTTCATATAGAAGAAAGGTACACCCCTCAGGCCCGCAGCAACTGACATTGGTGAAACGATGTGTGGAACGATGTGAAAAGCAACAACAGATCGATGATGACATTCGATTGTTTGATCGTCCTCACTTGTTCCGCATGTTGAAGTACATCATCTACAGTACTCGATAGGGGTGAGAGTCACAGTGGGTTGCCAATCAGATTTCAGTGGTGGTTGATTTCAGGGGTCTTTCTTGGGGCAGTGTGGTCCAAAACCCGTCCCAGACAGGTGGTGGTCACGGTCACTGCGCGGCAACAGAATCGTTGTTGCTTCTCCCCTTTCAATCTCAGTTTTCCGGTGATTTCCCTTCTGGTGAATAATGTTGACATAGGATTTTGTAACCCCCTTATTACCAAGCCCAGCTCGAGCCCCCAATAATTGACTAAGTGTTAAAAACACACACACAATCCGGTGATTCCCCTTGTAGGGAATATGTTTTCTTTTTTTCGCCGGTTCCTGATGATTTGCACATGCAAGCTTTCAATCTCCCTCCCAAAACCACCCAAACTCTCGATCGCAGCGACGCTGGCAAACTTTCGTTTGAACGGAGGGACGAGGACGAGGTGCCGTTTTGATCTGCCGAAGAGACAACAACAACAACAACAACAACAACAACAACCACAACAACAACAACAACAACAACAACAACAAGCCGCACAACATGCACAAACACACACACACACTTAGATCCATGCTCGCAAGAGCTATATCAGCTGGTGAACTCCAGTGTTACTGCAAGTAGACCTTGGGGCTGAGGGCACGGACAGGTGGCTGAGTCCGCGACAAGTTTGAACAAGGCACATTGGCACTTAAAATTGGAGTGGACACCGTTGTCAACAGTTCCAACCGGGAGAAAGGTGGTCACCAGCTGCGACACAATAAAGCGCCCAGATGCCCCATGTTTGGGTACGTTTACCTGATCGTGCCGAGCTTCGTTGGCAGAGGCCACAACTGGAGATCCCTCTGCCCCCTGCTTTAAAGTTGCAATACTGTGGTCGTGCTCCTTGGAGACAGGAGTTGACACACACACACACACACACTTAGATTGAGGCTCGCAAGAGCTAAATCAGTTAAGGCAATCCACTCTCGTGAGTACAATACCGGTTTAGAGCGCTGCCTGAAACCTGAGAAACAGCCCTGAGGGAACGGCAAGGTGAAGATGTCGGCAACAATATTTGTTTACATCATTAGAGTCTGCAGGTACGTCATCGGGCGTCCCTGATGATATCCTAGGATCATGTGAGGAGCTGCGTTGGATGGAGCCTCACATGTCCTCTCCATCCCCCTGCTTCGAAAGTGGCCAACCACCAGTGGTGAATTATTCAGTGCAGGTTCCTTGGAAACAGGTGTGGACACACACAAGAAGCCGGAACGGCGCGCCCCTTAGGGAGGGGGGGTGTGAAGGGGGTGTGGGAGTGCGCTGACTAAACGAGCCTGGATGACCACCTAAAAAGCCTGAGAGAAAGAACAAGACAAACAAAAAGGCAAGAAAAGAAGAGAAAGGTGCAAGGGAGCCTAAACGCCGACCTAACAAGCCTGAAGGAAAGCCCAGACAAACGAAAAAAGGCAAAGAAAGAAAAGGTGCAGGGGGTGTAGGGTGGGGTTGGGGTGGAAGGCTTGGCAAATTCTCATGCATGGGTCATGCACTGGCCCGAAGGCGCTGGCAAAAGAAGCCGTAATCGGCGCTCGCTTGACTCAAAAAGCCTCAGTTACACCTAAAAAGCATCTAGAAAACGAAAAAAGACCTAGAAAACGAAAAGCAACAGCAGGAAAGAAAAACCCAAAGGACATGTGAATACTTAGCCGCATGAGAATACTTAGCCGCATGAACGGTTCCGTGCTGGAGTTTGATCTCAGTATGCCCTGCGGCGTGTGATCAGCTGTTTCGAGCGGAGCCGGGGATCAGGTAGGGGGGCGCGAGAAAAGGATCAGGTGAAGGACAAGGGACCATGAAGGATCACCCTTAAGGGTATGTGCACATGCTGCGCCCCTGGCTGGGGATCACACCACAGACCTCAGTGGGACCCTGTGGCGATACACACTTAGATTGAGGCTCGCAAGAGCTAAATCAGTTAAGGCAATCCACTCTAGTGAGTACAATACCGGTTTAGAGCGCTGCCTGAAACCTGAGAAACAGCCCTGAGAGGGAACGGCAAGGTGAAGAAGTCGGCAACAATATTGTTTACATCATTGGAGTCTGCAGGTACATCATCAGGCGTCCCTGATGATATCCTAGGATCAAGTGAGGAGCTTCGTTGGATGGAGCCTCACATGTCCTCTCCATCCCCCTGCTTCGAAAGTGGCCAACCACCAGTGGTGAATTATTCAGTGCAGATTCCTTAGAAACAGGTGTGGGCACACACACACACGCAGACACAGACGGGTGCATGTGTTTTCTTCGGAAAGCAAAAGCTGGCCGAAAGATCAGAACTAGGTTCGGCTTGCTGCAGAACTTGGGGGTCTTGAGCACCGCCTTGACCTGGGAAAACGGCAGCAATCCGCTGCTGCGCTTTGCCTCGATCTTCGCAGCTGGGATCGAAAGAACAAGCTGGGGGGTGGTGGGCAGATGCAGACCAAAACACCGAAACGCGCGCTTGCACTCTTGTTGTTGTATTTTTATTTTTTTGTGTGTGTTTTTGTTGGGGGGGGTGGGAGAAGCACTGTATGGAAAAAGACTCAGGAATGCATGGCAGCATGCCGATGCACGTTTGCAGCATGTGGGAATGGGAATCCAGTCTAGAGTCTAGTGACTTTCCCTGTTTCGGGATGTGTTGTGATGTTTCAGGACATTTCGTATGTGTTTTTTGTTTTTTGGGCTCCAGGATGCTCCAGGTTTCCTTTACAAGTCCAGTTGTTTTTCCAGGATTGATCATACTCTGCCAGAGTGGGATTGACCCAAACATGGCGCCTTAAACATCCCAGCGTCAGATCCGGATGGAGAGATTATGTCCATGTTCATTGGGGACATTTAAGCAGGGGCTTAGTAGTTTGACCCATGGACAAGGTTAAATTCCCATAAATTCCCTATATTCCCTATTGTATCCATGGATCCATCATTTTAGAATGTGAGCTCTTCGCAGGGAGCGAATCCCTTATAGGGAGTGAAGAAGTCCTTAGACTGCACGACGGTGTCGGCGCATCAATATCAAGTCCTTTGGAGTTTTTGTTCACTCAGAACATGATTTGCCAACGAACATGGGTGGCCAATGGAACCGGGAGGCTTCGTTTATATAATATAATTCCTCTCTTTTGTGGCCTATGATGGAACACGGCCAAATTGATGGATGCAAATGATCGAAACATCCAGACAAGACTCCATGTTCCAAAATATGCATGTGACGATTAGAGAGACCTGTGACCTGTGACCTTCCATTTTCGCTACAGTTTCTTCAAATCTCATTTTAGGATACTCTCTTGAGTACAGTTCGGTGTTTTGACTCCTATTGTTGCTTCTTCCATCTTCTTCCGTATCTTCAACTAGAGTTCAGGTCCCAAGTTTTGTGTGGCTTGGTTGTGTGTGTGTTCTTTTAATTCGCGTCTTCGTCCCAAAGTCACGTGTTCATCAAACCGGGTGTGCACTCCGTGCGCCTCGAACTGCGAGTGTGTGCGGAGTGCGAGTTCTGCCAGGTCTTTGACCTGAATGGCTTTGGTTTCAGCTGTGCGGCGGAAGGCAATGCCAAGCCGTACAGCCGCTTGGACCGCTGTAGCGGGGACCGAGCAGTTCCGGGATAAACGGATAAAGCCCCCTCACCGGACTCGTGAGCCCTGAAGAAGCAGGTGCCATGTTCAAGCAGTTGTTTTTGGGCTTTTTGGCTTTGAAGATCGAAGTAAGCATACCAGGACCCTCCTGTCGGGGTGCCCTGTCTGGAAGCCTATAGGTAGTGTGGGGTAGTCCAGCCAGGACACCCCGAAGGTCGGAGGGTCCTGGTATTCATCATGTTTTTGTTCGCACCTATGGAGTTGTGGTGTCTTGTTTGGGAAGATGAACTGGCGGAATTGGAGTTTCAGTGTCCGGGGAAGATGAACCATGTAAGGAAAACCAGCTTATAACGGGTGTCCGATGCAGCTGCAGCGCTTGGGAACGCCGGAACCAAAGGTGCTGAATGTGTTTGTCATGATTGGACCACAGCTGTTCGTCACAGCCTATAAGGTATACATCCATGATCCAGCTTTTTCTGCACAACTGGCAGCTGGCAGAGTGGACTGGGGACTTTTCTGGGCAGATTCACTGAGCAACTTGTGTGTCAACTCTGCAGAGAGAACACCTGGTACTTAAGTCTCACCTAACGAGTCGACCGAGGTTTTTCAACCACCCACCACTGGCGGAAGGGTAGGACGTCTCCGGGAAGACTGGCTTTTTTACTCCAAACAGCCCAGTTCCAAACAGATCCCGACGCGCCTGGGATCCGAGGCATCATCGCGTCCTTTTTCTGGCTGGTGGTCCTCTTGCTTCCCATTTGCGCCTCAGCCTCCGTTTGCATCGCCAGCTTGGGACCCCCGTGTTGTTCCTGGAAACGGTGGGACCCTATGTCCCTTAGAAAAGGTATAATTTTCTAGAAACACACTATCTAGTGTGTTGATAGAGCCCCACCATTTTCTATAAAACTGCATCTTGGTCAGGATGACATAATCACATGTTTTTCCATACCACTTCCTAGAGGACATTCTATAGCTGTTTTAAGCTTGCAAATCGGACATGAACATAGGTATAAGATAATTTACTAGACGTTTGGCAAAAAACATACAACAAAAAACAAGGAAACCGCTTTCTAGAGACAGTTGCTTATTGCAAGATTGTGCAAGATCTTGCACTCTAGATCTCTCCAGAAATAGGTCGCTTCATGCCGCGTCCATGTGTTCCTTTTTTTTGAGTGCTGGACATCTCTAGGAAATGGTCATGTTCACGTGTTGCTAGCGATCAACGTTTGTCAAAAAAGAGCCTTGAAACAGAGATAAAGCCTTGATTTAATTTTTGCTTTTCTAGAATGACTAGCATGTTCTAGACAGCGTATTTACCTGGCCAAAACCATTTACTAGACAAAAGTGCATGCCCCATTTTTCTATTCATTCAATCAATTGTTAATCCAGGTTCACCTTGAAGTTCTAACTAGGTTTTATTTTTTGATTTCCTGGTCCACAAGCTTTTCTGGTTGATGCTTTCGTTTAGTCCTTTACAGCGTTTTACTTTTCAATCCGGCAATGACATGGAATGACTATCCCAGTCCAACCGGGAAGGATTTCAACCGCCCAGTCTGGTTCAGATATTCTTCTTCCACGGGTCCCACTGGCCTGGGGGGGGGGGGCCAGTCCCGGCCTGGTGCGGTCCGTTGTTCCACCATACCCGAAGAACGAGACGAGACTCCCGTGAGACCCAGTCCGTCCCACCCATCGGTCAGGTGCCATTTTGACCAACTACCTCCCCTGTTTGTCTCGCCGGGGCCTGGCCTGGGAAGCTATGAAGACGGTGAATGTCATTGGGCACTTTCTCCAGGCGCCTCTCGACTCTTTCCGCTCTTTCCACCGCCCCAGCCGAGCGCCCCAGCCGCGCTCCACCGGTGGTGGGTTTTCACACGGGGCCCGCCCTAGAGACATGGTGGAGTCGTTGGATGCCTCCGGAGTCGTCCGGACTGTCCGGTCTGGTCTACAGTCGCTACGTCCGGACTTCCGGCTTTCTGACCCACCGCCTGGGTTCGGTGGACTGGAAATCAATGGATTTGTTCTTCAGGTTTCACGGAGTTCGTTCGGTTTCACCATCTCTGTTCCGATCGAAACGGTGGAGTCAGGATCGAACCGGTCCTTTTTAACGTGCTGAAAATGCCGATTCGGTGGGAGTTGTCCTGCGGTTGTTCGTCCAAACAAGCATGGAACCAGGCTCCAGTGAAACCACTGGCGAGCCAACTCTGGGTCCACATTCTCTGAGAGTCCAAAGGACTCATTGTCCCGTTCGGGCTCCGGTCCCATCTCCTCAGGTCTTCAGGTTTGGTATTGGACCCCCCCCCGGCATCCACCCCTGTCCCATCTTCGAAGCGGATGTGGGACAGGAGCCCTAGGGTTTACTAATGATAGTGGTGAATTATACCTTCCAGGTGAGGTAAAGTGAGTCAAAACGGAAGTTCTGGGATTGCTGGCACAGATATGTGGCTCCCTGTATAGCTAGGGTGTTGTTTCATTTTGAGATCTCCACCCTTTGATGTAACTGGGTGTCGCGATGTGTTGAAAGCCAAGCCTGACAGAGAACGGACCGGATGCCGACGGCTAGACCGAATGAGCAGATCGGTGAGTAGTTGGCCCCACTCACATGCCTGAAAGAATCTGATTTACCGATACCTGGAGTCACATGGAGTTGGGTGGTTTTTAGATGTTTTTAGTCTGAGTGGATAATGGGAACTCAGTTGGCAACCCCTATCCTCCAATGGGCACCCCTTTGTAACCCCTTTTGGTACCTGGATCTTCAAACAGCCCAATTTGTTGCTGGCATGCATGTTTCAGTCAAAGACGCCGTAATCGCAATACAGATGTCGCTGAAGTCCGAAACATGTGCCAAAAAGGATCAGCAACGATCCCATGAACCCCGGAAAAGACGTTCTTTGGGTGACCTTCTCACCCAAATATCTGAAAAAGAACACCGTTTGTCTCCCCACTAGTCACCCTTTCACTCATCTATCTGGGGCCCCGGTCCGACGGTCCAGATCTACTGGTTCTCACCGTCCACCGCCACGTCTGACGGTCGTTCTCCGTGTCACGGTCTGGGACCCTCGAGCCCGGTCCCGTAGGACCGACCGACCGGCGACGCCTCGTCCTGGCGTCAAGACCATGGTCCCCCTGTCTTACGGGGTGGTCTTCCACTTCCGGATGAGTCGGAGAGTCGGTAGGATGGACATGTCAATCCAAAGTCCCAGTCTCAAAGTACCTGGGAAAATGAGTGCAAATGATATATTGCCCTTTCTTAGGTACCCCCAACTCATGTCCATCATGTCCCCTGTTCTAAGATCGTTCCAAGCTACTTGATGAGTTCCTCCCTCCGGGTCCAGAACCGCTCCGTGCCGAAGCACGCTCCGCGCCGACGCGACCGTGGCAGGTGGCCACCACAACCATGAGCAGCGTGGCCTTGCTGCCCTTCATGTGCTACCAACATCCCTCTGGGAAGGAGCGACGAGTTGAGTTCATTCGCGACAAGGGGAACAGCGACGAGTAGTAGGCGACGAGGGGTAGTAGGCGACGTGTTAAGCGCCCCTGATGAAGCTGTAGCTGTAGGAAAGAACAGGAGAACAGCGACGCGACAGAGGGGAGGAGGGCGAGTTCAAACTCCTGCAACTTGGGGAAATATGATTCACCTTCCAGTTCTTTCCAGCGGTTACCAATGATTTCCTCTTCCAAGATCCAAATAATTCAATTTGGGGTGTTCAATTGGTTCTCTCCAGCCAGGTCACATGACCGGTATTTTACTTCTTTTTGCTATGTGACCAGGTCACATGTCCGGGTGCTACGATCCAGCCAGGTGGTTTTAAAAGATGGAGACCTCCATGAGACCTCCTGGGTTTTGCGGATCAGGTGTTGTTGTTGTTTTCCCTGTGATGAAAGACACTTCTGGTGAATATATGGTTTTAAATGCTTACTTCTTTTCCAGGTTCCTCAAGCAAATCCAAGACATGAATTCATTTGCGGCTGATCGTGCCATGCAACAAAGACCTCGGAGACAACCCATTTAAATGAGTCACTCACAGTCATTGAAGCTTTGAAAGACGCTTGATGAAGCTATAGGAAAGGTGTTTCCTTGAGTGCCTTCCAGTACAATTTGCAGTGAGAAGAGTCACAGAAACCAAGGGATCAATCATTTAAGTAGCCATAACAAGATATATGTGTTTTTTCTTTGGTGACTTCCCTGTCGCACCAACATGCACTCGTTTCTATTTCCGACCTCCTCATGCACACCTCCAGACAAGGTCCCCTTGTTGACATCGTTTTGAGGTGGTCAAGCAGACAGATTGACACATCTGACACCCTCGCAGAGGGAACACAGAACCTGAACATAGAGCAGAACATCCGCTACAAGTCCAGTATGATGGACATGGGTGGTGCCGGTGTGCAGGAGTTCTTTTTTGCACATAGAGATAAGGGGCTGCGAGTCGGGTCCAGACCATCAGACCATCAGACCATGAGAGGTGACCTTACGCCATCCAGCCGATGATCCACATGTTGAGAAAGCCTGGTGGACAGTGGGAACATGACATCTCCAAGTTTGCCAATATATGTTAATACGCATCAAATCATGAGATGTCCTCTTCTTCTCGATGGTTTTGTTGCACACATGTATTTTGTGTTTAAATTTTTTCCCAGCTAACCAGGGTTCCAGTTTACAACCAGGGTTCCAAAAAATCTTTGCATACGGAACTAACTTGTTAGGTTGTTGATGGTTGTTGCTTGCTGAATATCGAGCCTCAAAGTGCCTCAAAGCCATTTCGGATCAGCTTTGTCTCCACTACACATGTCCTTTGTGCCTTTGTGAACGTGGATCAGCTGAGCTAGTCTGTGTCTTACTTGGTGTGTGTGGGTGTGAAGCAAGCAAACTTCCTTGTTGTGATGTTGTTCACAACTGTTGTGTCCACACTGTTGCGCACGCTAAGACCAGAAGTGGAGCAAGTGACCAATTCGATGAAGAAGGTGAAAAAGGGATCAATCCTAAAGAAGGATGCAACCCGATACCCTCAGTTTGGCCGCTTTGTTCAGGGACAGTGCTCTCGATGGAAGCCGCTTGGATTTCCACAGGTTTCACGAGCCAAGCTCCGGCTGGAAGTTGTGACTTGTCATGCATTGCTTGTAGTTGGAACTCGTTTGCAGCACTTAACTAACTTGCAGGACTCAACACGTTACAGCACTGTAACAACTACTGTAACAGCACAACGCATGTTGAAGCGCTCACATAACGTTACAGCAATGCAACAACACAACAAGCACTGTAACTAAGTTGTTTGACCTTGTTGGCCCTAGGTGTGACACCTTGGTGAAACAACACGCCCAATTGGCCTAGGTTCCTCCGCGAAAGCCAAAGTCTCAAGGCAATGTGGAGCTCCAGTGCGGAAAGTTTGTCTCGCAGACCATGGGTTGCTTGAGTAGGGTGCTTAGGGTGCAGATTGTATACGGTATACCATGTAGACTGAACTTCTAGCGCTTACTTTGTTGACATGATGTTACGATGTTGTAAGTATTGCTCACCGGCTTTAATCATGCAGGGTGCTTTTCATCAACTTACACGGCAACCACGCAATACATCATCCGGGGAAAGCAGGACTTGGTTGTATACGTTCAGCATTAAATGCTTGTAAGCAGCACTTGGTTAAGTTAGCATCAATTTTGTTTTGCACAGGATCTGGCTACGCAACTGTACCATTCAACCTCGTACACACAGGCATTGGCATGCCAAATGGAACAGCTCCAGAAAGGCAAGTATCTATCCATTGAAATGGCGGAGCACTTATCAGGCCACCAATGTTGTTCACATGCTGCGACACTCACTCCACTACAGGGCTCAAGGTCAAATCGTTTTAAGTATCGTGAGGGCTCCCTCGTGGATGGACTTCTCCTTTCACTACGGTGACTCATCAAGATGTACTGCGTGCATGCCCTTGGAAGGGCGCCCCAGTCATGTACTTAGTTGCCTGTGAAACATACTTTTGAAGGCAGTCTTGTTTGCATAAGGTTGCGCAGCACAAGTGCATTTCAATGTTTTCTGGCGTTGGTGGCCTTGACTTGGGCCTGTCTGCGTAGAGATCTTAGAGGTTGAGGTTGAAACAGGTGTGTGCTTGTCTGTAGAGCATTACTTTTTACTATGTGTATTGTTAGCTGCTCTGTAGTCAAGGTTCTGTGAGCCCTTGTGCTTCGAATCGCCCTTAGATGAGACTCTGCGTCATGTTACCACACACTGTCCAGGTTCTATGTTGTTTGGTCGCTGTTGACCTTCACTGCTTCGAACTGCAGGTCGAAAACAACCCACACTGCAGAGAAGTTTTGGGCCAAAGAATTGCAGATGGTTCTCTACCCAACGTGCCCGTGTACACAGATGTGTGGACTTTCCGTCCGACCGTCGACATGAGGGCCACCTGCACTGGCCTGATTGCTGGTTTTCCATGCCAGGATTCTTAACTGGTACAACTACACGCTGACACCATTATCTTGTCAAGCACCAACTTGCCACATCTTGCCACAACACCACGTTCACCAATGTTGTTTCTCTAAGGATATGTGCGGAGCAGGTTTGATGCAAGGCCTTTCAGGGGCGCGTTCATCTCTAGGAGAAGTCTTTGAGCAGGTAGAGGGGCTACCCTACTTGTGACTTGCATGCGCTGGGACCAACTACATTCACGGATGTTCTTGTTTTGATTGATTTTGCAAATTGGTTGAAATTCGTTGAATAGAACGCTAATTACACTAAATTAGCAGTTGTCGGGATCTGCTGCAAACCAGACCCAATGGCTGATGTTGGCGTAGGACGTCTCCGCCGGTGCCTCAAAAGAGCAAAGGCTCATTGCGCAACATGCAAAAACCATGCAACATTGCTAAAACCGTTTGGCCTACAGAACCATCTTTGTTGCTCTAGGCATCCAGGCCAAATTGGGTGCTCACGGAGCACCACGTCGACGGCCTTGGAAATCGAGCATCCCTTCCTGGGTGGGGGTAAGCCTGGGGAGAAATTACAGGAACCACCAGAAGCAAGATGTTACTTGCACCCTTGCAAGCATCCCCTAACCAACCTGTCCGGTGATGTGGGGGTCTAATTGGAATATTCATGACATTATCCATTACGATCCAAGGACCAATGATCAACCAATGACAACACCACCGAGCAGGATGACTTCGATAACCACGGAAAAATCCCTGCAGGACGGAAAATCAGATTGGAGTTCACATGAAGTGAACATAAGTATACATAAGTGAACTTAACCAATTCGACACGAGGCCTAATGTTGAGGCCTTTTTGGTGTTATATAGTCAAGTCAAGTCAACCAATACTTAAGAATAGGACTGAAGCACCTTCGAACGAAGATGAAGGTTGAAAGAGGAGTAAACTCCGCAAGAAAAGAAATCTAGTAAAGGCACGAGCTAGCTAGCAAAATATGCCTACTAAAGATACTTTCATGGGTTGTTTCGGGTTACCCTGTTCAGAATCCTTCTAAACGTTTCGCCCCCCAAAACTCATCCAGATCTGAGCTTGGGCACTGTTCAACGAGATCACAGGTTGGAGACAGGACCAAGGATTCAACGAAAGCCACACTCAAGCTACATGGCCCAAAATTTTAGTAGCTGAATGGCCCGCGAAAGCCAAACTCAAAGCTTGAGAACTATAGCCGGACCTATCCTTCCCAAGAAGTCTGCATTGGGGGTGTTCAACCCACGAACAGCCACTAGACATCACTAGACATAGAGTGACCTCTGAACTGATTGGACCACGCTGGACCTGTGAAATACATAGCCTCATGGAGTGGGTGTGTTTTTCCATGAAGGTACGATCCTCCGTCCTGCAGGGTTTGTTTCGTGGTCGGGATAAAACGAAGCATTCAAAGCTACATGTTACATGACAGGCTGACCAAAAAAGATCACTCCTAGTACTGTACATAAATAGCATCCCTCTACTCCAAACAAGGCTCCTGGTAAGATGGTCTTCTGAAATTGTTCGCCCAAAAGTTCAAACATGTGGAAGGTTGTGGAGCCGTGCAGCACAAACGCTGGGTAAACCAGTGGAGGAAATTGGGAACTAAAAAAACACGTATCATCTCCCTCATTCTTCCAGTCACTAGTAACAAGTGCATTGCTACTAGTAGCAAGAAGCTACTAGTAACAAGTGCATCGCTACTAGGAGCAAGGACGCTACTAGAAACTCCTGGCCTTACTACTAGGAACAAGAAGCTACTAGTAACAAGTGCATCGCTACTAGTAACATTCTGGAAAACAATGGGGCGAACACTGAACTGCTTGGGTCTGTTGATCGGTACTGGCATTGGTATGGGCATTGGATTGGCGAAGTAGGTATAGGCAAATAGGAAGATTGAAGTTGGGTAGCAAACTGGGAAAACTTGGATAATGTTCCTAATAGCTTCTTGTTACTGGTAGCTACTTGCTCCAAGTAGTACGGCCAGGAGACCCTAGTAGCGCCCTTGCCAGGAGCCCCTAGTAACGTCCTTGCTCCTAGTAGCGATGCCATGAGACCCTAGTAGCGTCCTTGCTTCGTAGTACCAACCCCAGGAGCATGCGTCAAACCATGTGGAGCTGCGGGGCGCAGTACTGGGCGCAGTCGGTGTCAGCATGTTTGCAGGAGCTGAACAACACTTGGGAGAGCAAACACGAGTACAACGCTCAGGCAGGGCGCACACAGCTTTACGGTGGTTTTGGAGGATCTCCCGGCGTGATCACATCGTAGGCGATCGAACGACCCCGTTGTCCAAGATCTCAAATCGATCCGTACCCACTATCGAACAGCACCCCCCCCACTTAAGTTGGGACGAGCAATGGAGGACAGCGGGGCTTTGCAACATGTTGTTGACTTGATTCTATGATGGTTTTTGTGTTGTGTTTTGAATGCTTGTGGTGAGCCTTGTTCCATGAATGTTTTGGTGTTGGTTGACATCGGGCATTTTGTACAGGAGTGGTGGGACACCTGTCCACAGGCCGGTCCCAAAACCGTTGGGCTCTCGGCGAGTGAGCCCAGTCTGACTTCGTTGACCACAGTCAATGGCCTCCTCAAGCTTAAGGGCTCTATATATATATAATCGTTCAATGTGGTTGTTGTTCATGTGTCCGCACGCTACTGACTAATTGTTGAGGATCCCGGATGCCCTGAAGAATCGCTTCGAGGTAGATTCCCCCCACGCTGCCAAGCTGAAGTGGCTGGAACAACAAGTTGTCGACGCCAACACAAGTAAAGGTGAAAAGGGCTTTGGCAACAACACCAGCTTCAACACAAGCTTGAACACAGGCTTCTGGAACCGTGACAGTTCACGCCTACAAATCCTCCCGCCCGGACAGCGTGCCTGCCACAGTTCACTGACCAGGACAAGCCTTTGGATGTGTCACATGCGAGCTTGCCAGCGCAAGATTTCCGAAACTCACACCAGTGTGCCAACTGCATGAAGACTGTGGCAGTGATGTTCATTGTGCATCAGTAAAGCTCAGCGTGTTTAATTTAGAGTTGTGTTCATTCTGTACCTCTATATCATTCTATGCTTGTTTGTCGCCACGGGTCTGTGTGTTGAAGGCTGTGTTCATTTTGAGGCTGAGGTCTGTGTTTACTTGTTTCCTGATTGTTTCAAGTTCATGCCAGCTAAGTGGTTGCATGCAATTTAGTTTCAGTGCTTGCTTACTGATTGGCGACGATTTTTATTTTAAACTACTACCAAGGATCATGGCAACAGCAGTATACCCCCGCTTGCCAGCAGTCAAAATTTGCCTCACAAACAGCTATGACTTGTGGTTGGTGAATGAGGGTGAAACGAACGCTGAGATCCAGGCAGGTGAACTCATCGGCTTCAACGTTGGATCTTTCAAGGAGATTGCCTTGGGTGCCACGGCCGGTTCATGTCATTAACGTGCATCAACAGTAACATACAGTAATCAACTGGTGGAAGGTACAGGTTGGGTAGTTTCAACCAGTGTGCTTCAAAGTTGCTGAGTTGTTGCGCAATACAAACAAAAGCAAGTAGAATTAATGTGTTCCATGAACAGTCCATGAATGTTCCACCATCATGTTCTCAAAGTGACAACCACAACAATGTACATATGTGCGATGGAGATGGAAAAAGCTTGTACCTGTGTGCTGAAGTGTTGGGTTGGTGTTGCAGAGTGCTGAGGCATAGCAACAGCACCGCCTATAGATTCCCTGCCCTTCTTGGTTAAATATGATACGTGCTTGGTGGCTTGGGTGGGGAGGGATGGCAAGGAGTTGATTTTTATTGCAGACCGTGACATGGAGCAGGCGCAGGACAAGTTGGGACAAGTTGTACGTCGAAGTTGTGATGTTATTGTCGTCGTAGTTGCTACACCCTTTTTGTTCACCTCTGTTAGTACCTCTGTTTGGCACCCCGGCAATGTTGGAACACTGTGTTTTCTGCGGACTTTACTAAGTTCTAAGTTCCGGTTTTGGCCAATGTGCAACAGTTGCTGAACTTCCATTACAAGATTCAACCAAAGCAACGGGTTCACGCTGTTGAACAAAAGCCTTTGCCCGGTGATGTCGACTTGCAGAATATTTGTGCTTCTCAGATGGGACAGCTGTTCGTCAAAGACGGCCAGTTGCCCAAGTTGTTGACCAACAAGCACTGTGCTGTGACCTGGGATGTTTGTGCCTAAGTCGGTGGGAGGTGTTGTAAGAACCTCACAAAGCGTGTCACACAAGTTGTAAATGCAGCTTGTTGTGGGTTATTGTTTTGCGGGTCAAAGGGGTAACATTGCTCAGGTGCGGGTGGACAATTCTGCTCCGGCTTGCATTGTGGGCGTCAAGGCCAAAATTTCATTGACAGCGCGTGTGTCACTCAACGCACGGACAGCATGTAAGCTGTCTTGAATTTTTCAATCAGGGATCAACTGCTGTAAAGGGTGGCCAATGCAATCACTGCTTGGACTTTTATGGTTCATGTCTTCATAGCTATGACATATAGCTTCAACAAATGCAATGACAGTGGTTCCACTTGTTGTTGAGGCGGTGAGGAGATGGGGTAGCGGTTGCATAACACCTGGAAGTCGACAGAATAAGGTTTTGATAAACTACCGGCCAAGTAGCATCTAGATCCGTTGGCGCTTTGAGAAAAACAAACAACTGCACAACAACCCGTGGGCTCAGGTTGCATTTCCAGCATGCTTAATTAAGCAACAGCACATACTCGCTCACGCGCTGCTACATTAGTTGCTTGGACCTGCAGCACCCCTCTCGCGTGCGAAGTTGTAGTGTAGTACTCGCCCTTTTTGGATGTGGTTGGGGCAAGTCGCCCTCATGTTTCAAGATGTGAATGACCTTTCTGATGAGGAGGCTGCACGGCGGGGTAAGAGCAGGAAGCCGAAACTAACACCGAAACCGAAGACAACAAAAGCAAAGCCGAAGGCTTCTGTAAAGAAATCTCCAAAGGCCAAGGCTTCTCCGAAAGCCAAAGCAAAAGGCAAAGCAAAAGCGAGTGCACAGAAACCACGAAAGGACAAATCAGCCAGGAATGAGAGGAGTCAGCCAGAAGAAACAAAGCCTCAGGAATCTCAGGTAGACCCGCAGCCAGTCTTGAAGAAGCCAGCTGCAGCAGGTTCATGTCATGTTATGTTGTTCAGCCCTGAAAGATGATGCCTCGAGATGGTGTGCCAGACACAAAGTTTCACGAGATCGCAGCCACTTGTTTGCATTTACTGAACAGCCCATGTCAACGACAACATGTTGACACACACTTGTGCACAACCGTCACCGCATGTCACCGCCCTAGCCTCATGTGTCAGTGGTTGATTTGCCCATGCGACGAGTTGCTGAAGCAGGAGTTGCTGAAGAACAAGGGGGGATGCAACGTCAGCAGTTTTGATGAAGGTTGCGGTGCACTGTTTGTCTTGGATTCTGCACATTTGTGATTGAACAAGCAGCTAACCACTCAGTTAACCATGATGTTATGTCACTGCACTAAATGAACTTGCCAACTAGCCATTTGTAACCGCTTGAACTTGGCAGGATGCAGTGCTCGATGCCGCGGAGAGAGAAGGATTGGAACCTACCACTAGGAATGCCAAGGATACGAGTGGTGACCTGCCCCTAGAGGGTGAGAAGAAGAAGAAATGGTTGAACATGATGAGAGCCTGTAGTGCCATAAATGGCAGTGTCAATTTTTGTGTAATAGCTTGCGCCTCTTGGACATGAGTGCTGGTGGCGATGGAGAAAATGAAATGCTTTGTGCACATGCAGCGTGTTGTTTTGTGTCAGCGGCTAGTCCTTTGTGCCTTGTGCTCACTCCTTGTTGCAAAGTTCTTGTTGTATTGAGTGTTTTGTTGCTGGTGGTTTGCACTGTTTTGGTTTAATGTTGTTGATTAACTTGCATCATTCTTGGCACTATTTGAGCTTGAAAAACTGGAACCCTGGTTACAAACTGGAACCCTGGTTAGCTGGCAAAATTTTTGTTTCTTTTCTACTTATTGTTCTTCTTCTCGATGCGCAAATCGTTTGCTCGCTGCATGAATCCGTCCAGGAGAGTGTTTTGAAGTTTCCCAATGTTTTGTGCGGCAGCCCTGAGCACATCACCATGCAATCTGTGGGGATATCTCTCATGGCTTCTTGCCGGAAAAGGACAAGGCGTTGTTTTTGTCGTGTGTGCCAACAAGCCTCAAAACCAGCCGACTTGCCACGGACCCCTAGTTGTTGAAACCAGGGACTAACATGGAGCTCTAGACTTGGTGATTCTTGTACGTTGATTGCAAGTATGAAAGCTACGATTGGACTCTCCTGGCGCCTAAGATGAGTGTTTTATTGCAGAGCGCGTCCAGTCAGTCCGGAGTGACTGAAGCTGTGACCCGAGAGCCCCGACACACTGGCGTCTCAGGCGTCTCAGGCCGACGCTGTTTTGACCGGATTCGAGAGAAAACACCACTTACCCTGCTGAAGACTATACCCTAGGGCTCCAACCATATCTTCAGAAGGTGGTATTCGACCCCCCTGACACCCACCTGAACCATCTTCTCAGTAGGTAGTTCGAGTTTCAGGGATATTCACTAGACCCAGAAAACTGCTTGACAGGAACAGAGGTCTGACTTATGACCCGGGTCCATTTGAGTTGACTCGCGAGTGTCAGACGCTTTCCATGTCCAGTTGCTCAACTCCGAACTCCGTTGCTTCAAACATGGGTGAAAAAAACACCCGCCGCACCCGCCGCTCACATGGTGTTGAAAGCCAGCGTTCTACATGTTCCTTTTCAATGCTCCTCATATTGGGAGGATGGATTCAACTTCACAGCAGAGAGGTGCAGCACATCCGCAGTGCCACTCTTCATCTGTGTGACCTGGGTGAGGTGTCGGGTTGATTGTGCCTGCTCTGCGTCAATCCCAAACTGGGGAACGTTCCTCCTGTTTTCCACATTGCCAATCCAGTCCTTACGTGCCTCTGTCTCACAGCTGGCTTCGACGTCAGAAAGAGCTAACTAGGTGCTGGGTGTGGCCTTCCTGGCGGCGGCTTGCTTTGCTGCTCGGATGGCGCCCAAGTGGTCCGGAACCCGGAAGCTCCGAGCCTCGGCTCCAACGCGCATGACCATGCGAGGTGGCGCGTGGCGCGCGTGCGCGAGGGATCTGGGTAGGCTTGCCACCACAGGCCGTGAAAACCAAGTCCAAAGAATTCACCCTGGTTTCCAAGTCAGGTGCGGGGTGGGCAGCCTACACCTTAGGCAGAATTGGCTGCTGTTCTTGTCCTACTGCAACGTGAATTGCCTGTTCATTTTATGCATGTGCTTGCAGCTGTGCTCAACAAGAAAGAAAACGTACTACGTTTACAGTGCCTGCTATTAAAACACTTGCTGTTCCTATCTTTGTAGCAGCTCGAGTATTGCGTTATACTCGTTTTGGAAGAATCAATTGACGTCATGAATTTGGTGTAGAATAGATTGTAGTGGGCCATTGAAGACAAGTCATGTGTTTCCAGGTGTTTGTTATTGACTACGTATTTGTTTGCGCCCACTAGATAGTACCTTTACACTGTTTTGTTTGCATCGTGGCCGATATGTGTCGATCTAGTTATCATCCGATGACATTTTCAAGCAAGCAAACAATTCATTTGCCCGCTCTGTGAGTGTTGTATCTTCATTTGTTGGGCTCGGGCATGAGGGTATTTGTACATTTACATCAGGTGTCCAAGACATGGGCCATTGGCCATTGATGGCCATCGTCCGGATATGTCCGGATCAGGATTGAACACTCTCCAGCTGTCTGACAGACCTTCCCCACGCCTCAAGTCCAAACATCTGAGTCTTTTGGGCAAACCCATTTGGTGGATCCACACCGGGAGACCTTTGCGCAAAACCCAACATGAACAGACCAGACACATAAATTGACCTGGTCCACCTAGACGATAGACTGCTTGCCCTCACCGGAGCCATCGGGCATCGGTCGTGCGGCCTCCCGAGCTCCATGGGTCGTCCGGGGACCCAGGAGCCATTGTCTTCCTGATCCAACGCTTCCGGCCAAGCACCTGGTGGTTTGGCCTGGTGCTTTTGGCCCGAGGCAGGGGACCAGGCCTTTGGCGTTCGTTCGGTCTGATGGTTTTTAGTCTTTCAAACTCACTGCATGCGTTACCTATATATAGCGGTTGGATCCACTGGAATACACAGCCCATATCCATCATATCCTCCAGTGACATAGACCTGAAATCTTGTACGGCATAGATGTGCACATCTTTACCCGGAGCTCTTTGAGCACATGTCCACATCTGTGACAATGTGTGACTTGAAACAGGGTTCGGATGATGTGTTAGCCATAACATCCACCCCTTCCAAAGTAGGATTACTCCGAATTTGCAGATCATTACGACCTGGTCCAAACTGGGACGTGAATCTCCAAAAAGCAGGCACGACTATATGTGTTTTCGCACGACCAGGTCGACTCTAGGTACTCTCAGTATCCCTCAGTCAGACAGTGTGTTTGTCTTCAGGTGAAAACAGGGTGTGACAAGCCGGAGTTGGCGAGACAGCTCTAACGGAGAGCTGGACGTTTGCATTGATTTCTTCCTATGCGGAGTGCTCTCCCCCGAAGGGGACATCCCATCGAACATGAGGGAGCAGCCCCCAGAGTCGAATTCCGCTCGGGCGGTCGGCAGGGATGCTCTTGTCCTTACCAGTGGTCTTTGCGACGAATATGCCCGGCCTTCATTTGATGCTCATGCTTGGAATTCAGCAGGCTGGCATGTGAAACGATGGAAGCGACGATCGCCCCCGATTTGCACAAAGCTGCGCCCTGAAATCCATAGAGGATGGTGCAATCGATTTTAGATCTTCAAGAAAGAGGCACAGCTAGAGTAGAGAGGGATCCTTTTTGCCTGAACATTTCAAAGCAGCCGCGAAGAGGAGGTAGAGGAAACGTTTGATCTTCTATGGGTGACATGAATACTTAAAACCCTACCCAGTGGATCCAATTACCACTATAGTAGGTACAACCAGTGGTTCCAAAGACTAAATCCATAGTGCCATAGAGCTAGCAACCCTGGTTCCTTATACTGGTAAGTGGGATCCCCTGGGTTGGTTTGACGGTTTTCAGGTCATTTATCCATCACCCAGGTTGTTTTGTTTTTTTGTTTCAGAGATCTTGATGTTCTATCATGTTCAAGCCTTCCTTGGATCCCATAAACTCCCATTTTCAATTTGAAACCACCGCCCTTTGCCAAACCTGGCGTTTCTGTTCCGCGCACGCGCACGGTCTGTGGAGAGACCGAGACCGAGACTGAGAGTTGAAAAGGCCTCCAAGCTACTAGCGATGGCCTCCACCTCGTTTGGGTGGAGTTTCAGGCCTATTCCTACATGCAGCTTTGGTTCCATCCATGGAAATCGCCCATCCTCAATCTTGGCGATGCAGTCTCCACTGGATTGCTGGCCCCTGGGAGAAGTGGGATGGTTTGGGTGGTGCGGACTACTGTTTGTTGTGGTGTGGTGTGGTTTGTTATGCCAGCCAGAAGTTATAGCTGTTCAATAATTGTGTTCAACATTGTAGGTGTCTCCGTGAAAAATGAAGTTAGGTTCAAGTTGTGTAGCAACCTGCATATGCGTTTAAAGCAACAGATGGTTGATGAAACAAACAGATCTCATGCCAACTCAACAAGGGCCATGCAGAGTCAAGGTATGTTCAGGCAGAGCCAACAACAAGTCTAATGTGGCTTGCATCTATTCGTGTTTGGGCCTTTAGCCCGGACACATTACACATTAAACTCACACATGATGAACACGTACTTTTGACACATAGTCAAGTCACAGATTTATAAGTGTATAGTTGATTATAAACTTACAAGCAGCTTTGACATAGAAAGCACTGAACATCACACAACACCTCTGAAGATATGCTTATTCATGCTTCCATGCAACACAAAACACTAGAAGTATCACTGCCCGTCTACATAAATAAGAAATATGTATACGCAGGGCCCGTATCACCCCCGCACTACCCGTGGTCCTGCCCTCTTTGAGCGGACCTGTTCCACATCGCCGGAAGGACCGGTGGCTGTGAACTCGGAATCTTCAGTAAAAGGTACTCCTGAAGACGAAGCTAAGCACAAGTGGGTGTGTGTTTTTGTTTTTTAGGGGACCCCTGACTTGATCAAAGAAGGGCGAACTGGGAGGTCTCCCCCAGTGCTGGCACAAAGCTGATGGTGCTCGGTGAGGAAATGCGTTCCGTGTCTTCTTGAGGATCTGACCTGTACCAGAAATTGGACGTCTATTTTTTCTGTAGCGAACACCATCGACCACCTCCCCTTTTGCTCGACATTTAGACCTGTACGCGCCATATTCCCAAGTCATATTCCAAAAACCCTGCAGACATGGGGTTCATTTCAGATACACTAAAGCCTTTTGTCCTTTGTCTTTCGCACCTGTCCTCACCTCGATGCTCCTGTGCTCGGAGCGCATCGCGCATCGCGGTCCGGCGAGGTGAGCCTTCTAGCCACGTCGTTGGCCTGTCTCGACACTTGTCCAGACATCCTACAGACCTTGCGTGCCGTGGTCTCCTTGATGCTGATCACAAGCTTGGTGTCCTGGTTTGATCTCACGATTTCCCCCGGTTGGAAGCTTTGAGGATCGGTTGGTTGGGGGTTCTGTGTGTTCGACTCTGTTTGGTACGATCGGGCAACGGTTGTTGCATGTCTTTTTTCAACGGCACGATCCAAACGAAGCCGTTCCAAGTCAAGTCAGAAGCTTGGCGCCAGAGCTCGGCTATCCGTGGATCATCACTAGTGGATCAGCAGGTCAGTCTGAGAAGAAAAACACCATGAGGTGCTCAGATCCCCCGCGCCAAGAGTGGCAACTTTGGGTGTTTCTTTGGCGGTGTTCCTGTGATCAGAGGATGTTGGGAATGGGCATGACCGCGTAGAACCCATCGTGCATCCTCATCGAACCTGACACTTGCAACCCTCTACGGCCCTGTGGCCGTAGATAGCAGATAGCAGACACGTAGATAGCAGGTTCATACATCAATCAGACTAGCAGGACACTCAATGTGTTGGGTCTTTTTGAAAGGTGTCCTGGAGTGAATTCATTCCCACACGACATCCACGGGACTGGAAGGGCTATGCCAACTACATTGACCCCCTATAACAACCACCACCCCAACGCCGTTTCTCGGCATCTATATGGCAGTCCCATACATGGAGCGTTTGGGATTGGGAGGCCCAGGCCTCCTCAGCGCGATGTGTCGGGTCTACATTTCACCAGAGTCCTGGAGTTGAAGAGTCCTGGAGTTGAAACTACTCCCTTCGTTCGCCCAAAAGGGGACATGACTTCGATGATTCGTAACGAGAACAACATGCATGAGCAACATATGGTTGTCGATCTAAAGGTCCTAGTCAGCAGTGTGTATGACGATGACCCGGAACATATCAAAATCTCATTTGGCGAAAGTTTTTTCTCGAGTTGGCGAAAGTAATTTTTTTTTGGCGAAAGATCTGGCGAAAGATTAAATATGTACTTTTGTATGAATGTTCATTTGCTTTCTGAACAGCTGGTGGCAGTGACTCAGAAGCTAGATAAGCTGTGGAAGTTAGATAACCAGTGCTGCTGCGGCTGCTACTACTACTACTACTACGACTACGACTACCACTACCACTACCACTACCACCACCACGACCACGACCACGACCACTACCGCTACCGCTACCGCTACCGCTACTGCTACCACTACCACTACCACTACCACCACTACTACTACTACTACTACTACTACTATTCCTGCTCCTGCTTTGGGGGGTGGCTTTGCCACAAAACTCTACCCCGCAAAAGGCGAAAGTTTGGCGAAAGTTCAGCTCAAGATTGGCGAAAGTTCACCCTGCCACATCTGACCCCCAGCCCATTATGAGTAAGTTTGAGTGACCGGCTACTACAGTGATTCTTGCAATTTTGATTCTTGCTGGCACCCAGGAGAAACAAAAGAGACGTACTGGGTGTCAACAGTTAAGTAGAAGACACATGCTGACAAACAGTGAAGTTTCTATTTTGTGTTTGCCAGTAAAGAAGAAGCCATTGACGTGAACAAAACACAACATACATGGCACACATAAATACAACGTACTTCGGCGAAAGATAAAACGCAGGAAGGCGAAAGTTTGGCGAAAGTAATTTTTTTTTGGCGAAAATGACGGATCCCGGATAGAGGAATTTAGATCAACTCCCATATACTAATTTGGTATACTCATTTTCCGAGATACGACACAGGTGGACTTCAAATATCCTTTGCATTCCGAAGACCAGCCGAGTCGGGAGAACGAAAAGCGGATCAATCCTTCGAGAGCGAGTTGGTCTTCGTTGTTACGGTCTTCGTTTCTTCGAGTTCTACGACTCGGACGTCTCAGGTTCTGTTGGTCTTAATCACCACCTTGAACTTCTTTTACGTTTCAGTGACCCGCAAGCAATTGCAGCTTGGCCAAGGGTTGGGCTTCTTGAAGCCCAAGGCCGTTTTAAGGTTTCGCCCCAAAATGAGATGAAAGGCATTGAAAGGCATGATGTTCAATGCGATGTAAGTGAAGAATGGTGAAACTCGTGAAAGGTTCTAGATTCTAGGGTTCTTTTCAATGAATTGATTTTGCTACCTGGTGGTCACTGGGGTGCACAGTGGGTTGCGCGGATGCCCATTGGCCCATGTACGCTGGACATATCGATGGCTGGATGGTGACACTATGGATTGTGGTGCAAAAAGCAAGAAGGAACATATAACATATCGTGAAATGGGAATGAGATGGAATGAACTGAATGAACACATATTCTTTGGTCATGGGAGCAACCTTTCTTCCTTGCAAGGTCTTCTTTTCCGGAGCCGCTTTAGACCGGTCGTTTCGTTCGAGCTGGGCAAGTACCGTTTTCACCAAGAGTATGCCCCCTGCTCAATGTGAGATGATCACCAGGGGTGTCCGAAGTAGGGAATGGTAGAAACAGACCCTCCTGGCACCCAGCGAACCTGAGGATGTGGTGCAGGAGTTTTGGGGGCTATGACACCCACCCAGGCCCACTCACACTCTCACCGTGAGAAACACCAAGGTCGCTCTTGGATTTGGGCAAGACAGGCGGCTCTCGCTGCAAAGCAGGAAGCCCAAACTGCCAATCCAAGTAATGATGCTTCAAACAGAGTCATACTGGGCCAGTTGGGTGACTGACTAAACGTGCCCACCCTAAATCAAGTTGCACCCTTTAAAACCTGCATGTTCCATGGCTTCCAACTGTCAGTTGTGATTCCCAATAGATCTTGTGCGTAACAGGGTGCCTGCAAAGGCTCCTAGATTCCCTGTACCAAAAGTCATGTTTGCGAGCCGCCTTTGGAATTCTTATTTGTTACTTTGATGTACTGTTTACAGTGGAAAAAAACAAACAAACAATATAACAGATTATAACAGACTATATTATCTATACTACCTGGTACAAATATAGCCTTCCAACTGTTCATCTTTAAAAAAAATGGCGCAACGTGTGCGTAATCGGAGAAACCAGGTGTATATACTGTATATATATATATATACATACACATAATCAATCGAATCAATCAATGATTTTGCAAAGGGAAAGAAAAGACCTTCAGTTTATCCACAAGACTTTCCTAGGCACCTTGTTGGTTTTGAAGCAATGGTTCTAGTTCTACTTTTTATTCAATAACAATACACGTAACTGTTATGAGGAATATGATGAGAATTAGAAGGTTTTCCCATCAAGGAAAGGCTTGTCCACGTTGGCGGCAGAGGGAGTGGGGAAGTCCAACTTCCCCTGCCAAGTTGCTACCTGGGGCTCCCAGTTGCACCTTGGTTGGCTTGAGACGTTTGCTGCACGTCTCCTCGTGCAGCTTTCAGGTGATGCGGACTCTGTGCTTGAAGGACTTCGACAAATCGCAGACTTCTTATCCAGCGACTGGGCACGTGAAGGCCACAACAGTACGCAACTTGAGAGGGTTTTCGCAGGGAGACACGCAGGGTTTTGTAGACGGTGTTAGCAGGGTCGTAGCGTCGTACCCTACCCGGACCCACAGTTGGGGCGGTTCATCATCGAGCTAGCTAAGTAGACACCCCTTAGTGGCCGCTGGCAGGGGCGTGGAAACCGAGCCAGAACTGCCACCCTCTCAAATGGCACAAACTTTCAGCTGGCTATCTGGGGGATTTGAAGGGAACGAGGGACGAAAGATGTACTGTAAACGAATGGGGATGTGAGATCAGCTGTTTCGGCATCAACTGCGTCTTTAGTTGACCAACTGCCCCCCCCCAAAGAAAACAAACAACTATCATTAAACCCAGCATAATGACTCCTGGTGCCGCGGGCTAGATTGGCGGAATGATTTGAGAGAACCATTTTGAGGTATGATGACCATCCAGGAACACGGAACCTTTGGAACCGGTTTCGTGGAATGAGTGAAAACCACCTGTTTGGTATTTAAGAAATTACCCTAAGAATCCTTGGGCTCTCCATGGCAGGGGTCGGACCCTCCATAGCAGGGGTCTGGGTCCTCAAAACCCTATCTGTTTGAGGGCCCGGATTCTTAGGGTATGATCTCATTCCCTAGGGATCCAAGTACCTTCTCAGGTTCGGTACGACTGGACCCTCCTGGCACCTACATAACAGTGTCTCCAATCACCGTACCTGAGGTTCGGTACCACTGGATCCCTAGGGATTGGTATCTTTAGGGGTCGATGGCTCCACGGCTCCATTCCAGAAGGGGTCACTGATCTACCACGGTGACTGATCATCTGTCGGCTGAGGGGACCGGGAAGAGAGTACTTCTCTCAGCAAGGGCTTGGCGAAGTTATGCGCTTATGACTTGAACTGTGTCATGGACGCCTGGCCAAAACACGCGGTCGCCATGCTGGGTGGTGATCGGTATAGACACACCGAAAGGGCCTGGTGCATGGACGCTCCAGCCACCAAAGAGACACTCCAGCCAGGGTATCTTGGTATTTGGTGTGTATTGAAATCGTTGATCAACCTTCAAAGACCCTTGGGATCATTGGTTAAAGGTCCTATTCTAACCCCCCGTATGGGCCTCGCAGGGAGAACACTCCCAATTTCTTAGCGGAAAAGCTACCACCTGGTGAACTCACTGTGGCAGACTGGTGAGTTGTTTGATGACCTGGGCACACCGCCCACATGGCGTCCGCACTCGTGGAAAAAATGGCAGACTGGTGAGTTGTTGCCCCTGAAAAAGGTGTAAATCCCCATCAAATCCCGGGGACCAGATGGGTCTTTTGTTCCATCGGGTCACCGCGGAGTCCGGTCCCTTGGGTCTCTCAAAGACTTGACCAGGTCCCAGGTTACACACACACACACACCCCAAGAGACCCAGCTTGAACTGGGGACGATGGGCAGTGGTTCATTCTACCTGGAAAATCCTTGAAATATGATGAAATATGGACGATATAGTCCAACTGTTTAATTGAAAAAACGTCATCCACAGATGCTTTCGGCATGACCCGCCACATGTGTTTTTCATACGGGGTTGTTCATTAATTGGAGCCTCAGATCACTTGAGATTGTGCAACATTTGGATCTGAACAGATCACCATAGACTATAGACCACCTGTTTGTTTGAATGTGACATATCATGATGACCAATCCATGGTGGCATAACGCTTTGATCCGGATGTTAGGCCACTGGGAAGCAGGTGAAAAAACAGGTCACAGGTAAAAACTTCTTAGGAAACTGCTCACTGAAATAGGGACAACACGCCGGAGGTGCCTTCAATGTGTTTTATTGGGATGTATGTGTATATATATATATACATCGTCCGTTTATTGCGCTTGGCCGCAATTGGTCTTTTGTGATTTGAGCCAGGAGTTTTGTTTTCGGTCCCCTCCTACTCTTTTGTTGTTAGGATTGTTCCACTTCTCAAGTTGACTTGAGCCCGGAGTTGATTGATGTACTAGATGTGTCATGTGAAGTTATTGATTGGAGGACAGGAGAATCAATCTCTCACAATTTTGAAAGGCCGGCCCGGGGAGCAACACCACGCCACATTGGAATGGCTTCAGAAGAGTTGTTTTTGTCCTTTTATTTTTGCAGATGTTTGTTTGATCACCAGCTTCTCAAGGAATCCAATCAATACCTCATGTACCTGATTTCATTCGACTTTGTTGCTGCTAGCACAGCGGCCTAGGCTTAAAGGTTACCATCCCCAAACATCTTTGAGAAAGCACCCCTCATCAAACCACCTGGCGACTTCTTGAGTGAACATGCGGGTGTCGTTTGATAGGCCTCTCTAGTTGAGCCGATCGTCAATTGACCTGAACGGAGTCTCCTGGACCCCTTTCTTGGCATGTGGGACTTGGTAACCACATGGGACCCAATAAGAGAAACGCCTTGGAACAAAATGGAGAACGGCTAGACCTGGAAACATGACCAGACCCACTGGTTGGGGGGGTCTTCCTTTTCACCAGCCATTTGGATGGCAAAGACCACCTAGAAGCAGCTCTCCCTCCGTCCCCCCCTCCCCCCCCCCTCCCTCCCTCCCTCCCTCCCTCCCTCCCTCCCCTCCATATCTATAGTAAAAAAACAACACACACACAGTTCTCATTTGTTGATGTCCTTCCTTCCCTCCAAATTTTGGCCGACGGTCGGAACACATGTTTGCGGAAGACGTCCGGGTGAACTGACTGGACTCCCTTCTGTTCACTTCACCTCAATCTTGACAAGTCAGCATGAGTCATCCCCAAATCACTCAAGAACTAGAACTGGATCTAACAATTCAGCTATAGCTTCGTTTTAGTAAGGTCACCAATTGATGCCCATGCTTCCAAAGAGCAATTGTTTTCTTTATTAAAGACACCTTGGTTTGTGATCCATTGGTACCAGTCTCCACATTTAGAACATCCACCAAAAAGAAACAAAACAAGCACACAAGAAAAAAACAAAGCTCTTTAGTGAAGGGTTGCACCCTGCTTGAAACCGTGTGGTACCGGGCCTACACGTACCGCGCCGTTGGGCTGCAGGAAGCCATCGATGTCTTGCTCGATGATTGGGAGATTGTCCCCTCGGAGGAGCGGCGGTCCACGTCCGCGTCCACTTCCCGTAGCCGCAGTCGGATCTCCTTGGCGCCGAACCGCGACTCCCTCAACTCGCGGGGCAAAGGAAGCAAGAGGCCAGAGGGTGTGGGAGATGACCAGAAAGTCGCTTTTGGTACCGAACACCTGGAGAACTGTTGATGTTTTTTTCCTTGTGATTGTTGTTTTCTGGTTTTGCTTCGGATGTGTTGTAATGTTCCCTTTGGTGAATCCCTTTCGTTTTCAGCGAGCAACTCTAAGTTTTATGATGTCTTGTTTGGTGCGAAGGAGATCGAAGAGGCGAAAGAAAGTTCCGCTTTGTTCTATGTTTTGTGGTCGTTGCTGGGTGCACCCACGCGCCCCAACTCATTCCATCTCATTCCCGCCAATTCCACCTGCACCCGGCGTGCATCATGCGATGGGACATGGATGGAAATGGTGTTTGGAAGGGAAAATGCACTGCAAACCTAGTATTCTCCTATTGCTGCTCCCAGTCCCCTTTTGACATCGAGCTTGGGGTGGGTGCCAGGAGGGTCCAAGTACCTTTTGAGGAGGTACTAAGGGACCTCCAATGGACACCCCTTGAAGGTCCAGGTATATATATCCTCCATTGAAACACCGACCTGGTTTGGGTCCGTCTGGACCTGACCGGCGGCGTCGACATGTGTCCAGTGGTCCTTTTTCCCCTTCAACGAACGGAGCGACCTGGGGAACTCGGTGGCAGATCCAGAAAGGGAACCCAGAAACACCATCACTGCGTTCCTTTCCGTTTCCCTCCCATAGTCTGCACCTTCCAGTTTTCCCCACCTTCTTCCATTCGACGCGCGCTTTTTCAGGCAGCGCGTGTCGATGCTGGCCTTGGAAGAGGCCATGGTGGCGCCCGTCGAAGCCGATGGCGCCGGACACATCAACGGCGGGAGACGCTCGGAATGCGGGAGCCAGCTCTGTCGCTGCTCCGGGGGAGAGCAAGGTGAGACAGAGCGGCGCAGGTTTGGAGTTGCCATCCCTGGTTTTTGGTTGCGTCCTGTTTTGAGTGTATTTTCGTTCGGAGCTCCCAAGCACCTCCGTGTCGGGGGGGGTTCCAGCCCGGCAGATGGGTGGATAGGATGGATGGGTGCCCTAGGAAGTCGTAGTACCTTCTGACGAGGGTGGGACAGGAGCTCCAGAAGCGGCCCCCAGAGATTGTTCTGACTTCAGCTGACTAAGAAGACAGTAGAAATCGGAGGACCAAGTTGTTTCGGGACCGTGGGACATGGTGGGACCGTGTCGACGTTGACCTACGAGTCATGTGAGAAGTAACCCACTGACATGTGACTTGAAACCACCAAACAGACAAGTTCATTGAGGTCTAAGAGGTATTTCTTCCCCTAAGGGTCCAGGACCATCCGAATCGGATGTCCTTTTGCCCCAGTTCGACCATTCTCAGGAAGCACGTACTCACCTCCAAGGCCATCCGATTCGGATGGTCTTGGACCCTTAGGGTTCTCTAAGGCTTGGACAACTCGGGCAACTCGAAGAAGACCGAGTCGTTTGGTGAGGCAGGGCACCGAATTTCCCCGGTGGAGTCAGTTGTCGAAGTCTGACCTCGTCCTGTTGGATCGTGAATTCCCTGGAAGTCAAAGACAAGCAAAAGAGTCTTCTTATTTGTAGGGACCTGAAAGGGAACTTATCTCTAGGAAAGCATTGCCTGGTTTGGCTTAGGATTTTGTATGTACCCTATGGGTGAATCGCCTGGCAGAAAGATGTTTGTTCCTTAAGCGAATCCAGGATTGTTTTTAGACCTCAAACCTTTAAGGCCATCAAAACCCGATGGAAAAGCACGTGACATTTGGGGTGCCGTCGTATACGAATGATGATGGCTTCCGAAAGGAAAGGAAGGGCTTTTTCGGGCCGAACCAAAGATCCACTCACTTCACCTGGGATTACCAGGAGATGGGTGTTGTTTTTGGGGTGTTCTTGAAAAAGCAAGTCTCAAGACACCCACAAACCATCGATAAAGGCCTCGCATATAACTGATCAACACGACCTGCAGGTGATCTATGAGAAGGAAAAGCTGGACGATCTTCCAGAGTGGGCAGAAGCGCACGAAGAACGCCATTTGGAGTCAAAGACTCCCAGATGCTCTTTGTAAAACACATGTTTTCTTGCCTGGGATGTAGCAGCTTGCGGCCCTTTTCGCTGCTGTAGACACATTTGACCCCAAAAGGAAGTCTAGAAGTTTGAAATCAACAGCCCCATGATGTATATCACGTATCACATGCTCTACAGATAGCTGAAGCCCAGGTTGAGACAAGGCAGGAATGTCTAACTTCGAAGAAGTCGGACGCCTGTGCTCCGTTTGCTTTGTGGGTGTGGATCAGAGACCATCGGAACAAGCACCACTCAAAGATGACCTTCAAAGGCTCTTCACCTCTCTCTGGTCACGGCCGACGGCCGAAACGACATCATGACATCATGACTTGTGGGATTTCATGGATAGACTAGATACGACTTCAAGTATGCATACAAAGGTTCGGTTTATAGACTCACAGCCAGAAATTCTTCCACTAAAACGACAAGTTACCAACTGACTTAGGTCCTTTTTGATCCACCCACCGTTACAGGCAGAAATGGAGCAGTGAAGTGTGTGCCAGTGCCAGCCTTCTCATCTGTGTGGGAAAAGTTGTGATGTGCATCGGACCTACTGCGCTGGCGCAGTAAAGTTTCCCCTGATTGCAGGTCTATCCATCAGGGTATTGGTTTGTGGGCCATGCATATGCTAGCATTTGTATTCCAACATCGTTATTGATATTATGTGAAAGGCATTCTGCATCTTAGGTGCTGCAGACTGTTCTACCATTCTGAATTAATTCATATGTTTAATGAAGGTTGGACTCCTGGGAACACAGGGCAGGGCAACACCTTCAGGGTGGTTGACTTTCCCGATTCTACCTTCAATCGTCTTGCACCGTTTTTTGCCTTTTGGAGCGAGGAGTACCATATAGGAACTGGTCAGATGGGTCCCATAGGGACTACGCATGGGGTCCCAACAGGTCTCGGTGCAACGTCTCGCACGTCCCACCGTCCCAGGGTCGACAACGAATCCGTTGGTGGCACCGAGAATGATCGAAGACACGTGACCCTTGGGTGCTTCGAACTATGGCCGTTTGTGAACAGATATGTTTCTTTGACATTCGTATGCAGGTTTAAGAATGCATATCCAAGGTATGGCCAAAATAGACCACATGCAGGCATACATATAAACATGCAGGCATACAAAGCCACGCGATCTGTTTGGAGCGTCTCCCAGTTCGATCTGAGTCATGCTTATAGTTCCTTTTCTACTCTCCCTAGGGCTCCAACCATCTCCTCAGGTTCGGTGGTTAGACCCCCCTGGCACCCACCCCTGTCCCATCTTCGAAACGGAGATAGGCCAGGAGCCCCAAACGAGTCTTTGAGAGACTCAATTGAGCCATGCTGAAAACCTCCCCCCGCGTAAGCTAAAACTGCGGTCGCGTAAGCTCTGCGTAAGCTTTGGCGTAAGCCAGACATTTCCAGGTTATGTCATATCGATGCTGCGTAAGCAAAGCCTGCAATGGCGTAAGGTGGCGTAAGCAGCGGCGTAAGCAACACCCCGGCGTAAGCTGAAACTGCGGTCGCGTAAGCGCGGCGTAAGTTTTCGCGTAAGGCAGTTCTTACGACATAGGAATCTATCAAGGTTTTCAGCATGGCTCAATTGCAGACACCGGGACCCTCCAGTTGTACCGAAGCGATGCGACCACTGGACCACCCTGCCGACGTGTGTCGAACACCAAAAAGCCGACAGAACGTTCGGTACGAGGACGCGGATCCCGAACGGGTTGATCAGTCTCTACCGTTTCATGTTCGAACACCATTCTGAAGATCAACGAAGAAGAAGTCCTTCACGGCCGGCTTCATCTGGTGCAAGCTTAGGAGTATGGTGGACTGATTTGTGGGAGCTGCTTTCCACGTATGAAGCAATTTGTTGTGCCAGCCCGAAGATCAACAGAAGATCAATCGGTTTAGTCGCAAACTCGGTGGTGTTTCCCGCTTTCAATCCCCCAAGACATGCATGACTTTCGGATGAAGGATGAAGAAGCAGTCGACTAAGCAGCATGAGTTGTGGTCTTTTAACCTCCTCGGCGGTGTTCGATCGATCCCGTAGACTCCATGAGACTGCGGACTGCCGATCAGGCCAGGGGTGCCAGGGGGGTCTGGCGCCCCAGGGCGGCAGTCCGTCCTGGCAGTTCCATGGGTCATGTCTGGGTCGACCTTCACAGGAGGCCACGTACTTCGAGATCGTCGAGAAAGCACGTTCGCTGCTCACGGATGATGACTGGTGGGTGGCTGGCGGCCCCAGCGAAGGGCCGTGCAGGTTGCGTTCGTGCAGGTTGCGTTCGAGGCGAGTGGAGCGAGCATGCTGGGAACACCGGTGGTGCAATGTGTATATATACCAGCTTCTTCAAAGTGACCTTTTGAAGGTTCCTATAAGTGACCCTTAGGAGGCTTAAGTGACTTCAAACGAGGTTATCAAGTACGGTCACTTTGACTAATATCTACCCTGGGGGTCTGTGTGGTAGCCGCCTCTTGGCGAAGACGACCGACTTGCCACTCTATGACATCCTATGACCCAAGGATCTACCCTGCAAATCAGCGGGTGTTAGGTTTGGGGACGCCACGTGTTCGAGTTTGCGAGACCTTGGTAGAAGTGGTTACTCCACACTTAGACTGCTAGACCACCCAAAGATACTTGCAAAGTATATAGCAGGTTGAATGGTTCAGAGAAAATCTGAGCGGTATCATATGTTATGCTGATGCAGTCGTGTGTATCACCTTGATTTTTTTCCAGCCAAGAGATTCAACACATGACATGTCTTCAGTCACAAGAACCTATGTTCACATTGTGCGCAGGACATGTTGGATCATGTTTCAATGTTTTGTCCAATCTGGATGTTTGTACAATATAACGCATTATACACTTGTTGGAAGGTTGGGTTCTTTGGGAAGTGAGTAAGCGTCCAAAAGCCGATACCAGTATACTACCTGGTTAAGTGGTTGAAAGCGTTTGGATATATATATATATTTATACTCTGTAAGTGTTGTGTCACCCTCTCTTCCGGCTAACCAAAGAACCTTGAGAGGACACTGTTGATCTTGCCTGCCTTGGGGCCGGTATGGAGGCAGATCAAAACTTGCACACCGTGCTTGTTGCCGTTGCAGCAGCTTTCGGGGCATCCGGATGCATTGTCACGGCAGAATCCGGCAGGCTGGATGCAACTGGATCCTGCTTCGGGAGTTGACCAGACATAACCAGACCAAGCGGTGTCCCAACAAACACCACCATCATAGACCCGAACTGCCCCCCCGAGGTCAATGCACAACGTGACCCAAGCGTCCCAGCCACCTGACCCAGTCGGAGGCCCCAGGAGCCGTCCTGCATCCGAGAATCGGCCATGGGACTGGCAGTGGTTGGTGAATTGAGGGGATGGCCTCAAGTGTTATATACAACCAGTTGGACCAATAGGAAATACCTGGACCCGACTTCAAGTACCTTAGAAAATGAGACATGACATGACCCTATAAACACCAGGTACTTGTATCCATTGTTCCGAGGTACGAACTGAGACTCCAGGTATATGGAAATATGACATCTGTATACCTGGAACTTCCTCAGAGTCTCTTTTCCGATCTGCGTGAAAAACCATGGTTTGGAGTCTATGTAGTTTCTCATATGTTTTTTCATTTTTTTCTGATGTTCCGCGGGCGTTTCTACGCAAGCGACTCGGGCGTTTATTGGTGTGTCACAGGCGTTTGTTCCCGAACTTTTTGTTTTAAGCGGAGGTTTATGTCCGTTGCAGATGTTTGTGTGGTTCACCGACCTAAATAATTTGTTGAACTTCCCCATGCAATACATACAACATGTTGCACCATGGTTGCATGTTGCATGGTTGGCAACACTTGCTACAAGCAGTACCTGTCATCGGATGGTACCATCCGATTGCTCTCCTCCTTTAAAAGGATGGTCCAAAGGAGGTGACTCGCAGATGCATCCTCCCAGAGGTGCCGCTGCAGGACATGCGTCCGAGCAAGATGCTCGGATGCGAACCTCAGTGGGCGATGTCTGACGTTTTTTCATGCCACCCTCCATTCACGGTCAATCACGCTCAATCCCTATATAGTGCATTCGACATGTCGTAGATGGCTGCAATGCGCCAGCAGCACTGCACCTGCAGCAGTCGCATGCTGTCGCCGGTCCGCACGCGACGCCGCACCGCGACGCTGCCGGTCCGCATGGGCTCAAGTGACTTCAGTGGTGCCGATGTCGGCGAAAGACCCCGGCGCCGAAAGACCATGGGCACCGTAACCGAACCTTTTGCATATTTGTTCTGGCCCCTCGGAGGCGTAAGTATACAGGGCTAGTTAAAGGGCTATATATATATATATGACTTTATATAATTGTGAACCATATCCAACCTTCTATGCAGCTGTTTTTTGTTTGTTCTCTCTATGTTCTATAATTTTCTACTATTGTGATAAACATTATTTAAAGGATGATGAATCCTTACAAACATGAAAGCGTGTTGTTATTTCTTGGACATGCACGGTACTGGAGGAGTAGTGATTTGTGCGAGGAGCTAGAACAGGTTATTGTTCCTGAAGTTTCATGGGTTTTGGTACAAGCAGCGTACATGAAGTATCATGAAATCATGTGAAATAGTTTTTGTGGTGTCACTCTTTCCTTTGAATTACTTTGCACATTGAAGGTCACTTTTTTGCACCCTTTTCTGCTTGCTCCTCAGTCACTTCCTTTGGACTGCATAGAGTCTGATTTTGGGAGCATCACACGAGAACGGGAACAGGTCCGAAGCGATCTTGCGAGTGGTGAACGAGCACCTGTTTCGGGTGTTTCATCTACGTGGTGTCAGAGACATTGGCCGTCGAAGTGTCAGAGACATTGGCAGTTCATCAACCAAAGAAACTGTCTTTGCACACTGCCTGGTTTGTTGGGCCCTCTATGCACCGACTGGTGGTTCTAGGTTGAATGAGGAAGCTTCATACCTTTTTGATAACCTCATTTTCACATGGTCAGATCTGCTGCAATACCACCTTTGCCCAAGAGGACGTGTCACCATTCTTGAAGGATGCCTTCCAGCTTGTATTCGGCTTGTTCGGAACGTGGCTGGTTCCTTGTTGAAAGTATAAGTAGGTCACCTCCAACCACATCCTCAGAAGCTGGTTGGGCTGGATGCCAGCGGGGTCTGACTACCCCCTGAGTTTGTGGTTGGAGCCCTAGGGTTAAAGCAACAACCTCCAAGTGGATCCATTTTCTGTTACAGTGGTTTCAGAGTAGATGGCATTTGGATGGGGGTCCATATATTTATAAACCATCTCTTGGGGTTTGTGCCATCTACTCTCAATCCACTACCAAGTTGGATCTTTATGCAGGGTTCCAGTCCTACCTCCGATTATGACTGGAGGATTCCAAAAACACCCACTCACCCCAGTCCCAGTCCCACTGAAACGGAGGTATGACTGTAGGGCCTTCGCCCAGTAAACCGCGCTGCGCTGTGGTGCTTCCTGAGGTTCTTGGCAGCGATTTGCATTCCTCTCGGAGAAACCCAGATCTGGCAACAGGACCAAGCCGAAGTTCACCAGGACCAAGCCGGGTTTGGCAGCTCCGAAGGTTCTGCTAAAACGAGGGAAACCAGCATTAAAGCTGGTCACTTAGTTGAGGTATTGCTACATGTTACCCTGCCTTCGGGGGAAGACCACAAAAATACTTTGTGGGGTAGCCTAGCTCAACCATATTATAGTCTTTGTGTTCACTTGACACTAAGCGTGTGACATTTCTTTGGTTTTCCCTCCTAAGACTTCTCTTGAAGGATGATTTTGTGCTTCCGGAGCTGCGGCTGCTACAAGTCTCGAAGAGTGTACATCGAAGTCCTATTGAATCGAGACCAGAACTCTGGAAGAGAGCATCGAGTTGGAACAACCTGAGCCACTTGGAACGATCCTATCCTATCTTCCCCCAAATTCGGCTGCCAACCTCCCTGCGCTTCCGACTGCGAGTCAGTCAGTCCAAGCGAAACAAAACACCGAAACACCGCCTTGGCCATGGGCACCCTAAGCATGGGGAAAAGAAAGGAACAACCCCTGAGTCTTCCAAGACCATTGAAAATAAAGGGTGACTCGGTGTTTCTTAGTATAAAATCCAAATAAAATAATAGTTTTTCGGAAAAGGACATGAAATCAATGGTGGGCCAGGAAGCCTAGGGCAACAGTGTCGGTGAGATTCTTCGTTTTACCACCTCATATATTATAGGAGGTCGATGAGTAGTCGTTTGGTCGAGCAAGTGGCAGTGTTGCCATCTAACCTGTACCTTATCGCATACCCTAGGGCTCTAACCACATCTGAAGGTGGGTAGACCCCCTGGCGCCCACCCCAACCACGTTCCGAGGATGTGGTTGAAGCCCCAGGGTCAACAAGGAATTTGGCAACAAGGAATTTTGTATAGTTCCAAGTATTGAGGATATTTTATGGATGGCCCGTGTAAAGGAATTGTTGTTTTTAGGAGGATTGATTTTTCAGATTTGTTTTTTGCTGCTTTTGCTCTTGATTTGTTGGTTGTTTTGTTTCAGCTTTTGGTGCTTGCTTTTGCTTTTGCTGCCTTTGCTATTTAGTTGTTTATTGCTTTTGTTTCTCTTGTTCCTTTTCTGCTTTTGTTGCTTCTATGGCTGTTTGTTACTCTCCGTCATAGTACTTTGAACATGGTGTATGTTTGTGTGGCATTTGTTGCTTTGTCCTTTTGTTGGCTTTGCTTCGCTCTGTTGGTCATGGCAGCGTTGGTCATGTCGCATGTGCCCTACGTGACCTGCCCTGCGTTCCACATCGCCCGATCATCGCCTCTACGGCGCGGCACCTGCCACGAAGACTTCGTTTCGTCAACCACGCGGCGCACTGCACTGGCAACCAACTTCTTCCAGTGTACGACAGCCCAGAAGTCACCAGCTGTTTCTTCAGTGTCAGCCCTGTTGCGGAATCGTTGCATTTCCTCTTCAAGGAAAGTCAAGCTGCTGTAAATGGTAGCGAACTGTGAGCCTCAAGGAGTTTTAAAGGAGAACATGTACATAATCGTTTACTTATATCGAACATGAACACACAATTGCATAGCCGCACCCATATGTCATGGCCATGGCCAAGATGAACGACCTGATCCCATGACCACATCGTGGCCTGAATTCCCAGTCTGGGTGTTGAGCGGTTGTTACTAGCTTCTTGTTACTAGTAATGCCCTTGTCACTAGTAGTGATGCACTTGTTACTAGTAGTGATGCACTTGTTACTAGTAGCTTCTTCCAGGGGCCCCACAAACCATCAAACACCTGGTTTTCTCTACCCAGTGGGTCAACGCACCAGTTTAACCACTTCTTTAGTAACGCACCAGTTTAACGGGTGCTTTAGCAAAACTGGGGCTGGAAGCTTAAAAAGGCCGTGAAAAGGACGTGAAAAGCCCGTGAAAACAGGGTGAAAGGCCGTGAAAAACCTGTGAAAATTAGGTCTTGGAAGTTGGGAGGTGAAATGCGTCCTTTATGCTAACGCACCAGTTTAACCCGTCCTTTGGACTTGCTGGGCTAGCAAAAAACGTGGTTTTTGTATGTGAAAACCGTTTTTTTTTTCATGGTTTTGAGGGCCCCTGGTTTTAGTGCCCCTGGTTGTTACTAGTGAGTTCCCACAAGTCTGTCTTCGCGCCGCCCAAGTTCGCTACGTTTGAGGCGACATTCTACGAGACGAGCCAGCAGGTGCCTTTCATTCACACCTGGATGTGCTGGCCCAGGCTATTGGCATTCTTTACGAGTCGGCGCCCCCGCAAGGAAGAACTGGCGCCAACACGACCTCAAACCTCATGGGTTCGGCGGCTGGGCGAGGAACAAAAGGGAACCTTGAGAAGGAAGGAACGCCTTTACAGGCTATTCAGATTCGCATCTAGAAGCTAAACACAGTTGTGAACACAGTATGTTGTTCTTTTCAGGTTCAACAAAACTATAATACTCTAGGACTGGGAAGCCAATGAAACCTCAAACTGTAGTCTGATTCTTTGGGGAATAGTTTATGCCATGGAAACTCATAGGATATTTCAATACAAAGCATTGTTGTAGTTGCAATGCAGTTGCGGCTGCTTTGCCAAGACAATAACCAAAAAGCATAAAACCATGGTCTATTCCCCAAGGACAGCCACTGGGAGCACCTGGTGCACTTTGATCGTGCTCCTGTGCCGGGCGGCGTTTTCGCACGCGCATGGAGGGAGGTAGGACGCTCTCAGATTCTGGTGGCCTACAAGGGTGTGTGCACTGATCCAAAGGCGAGGTCAGACGGTTCGGACCAAAAGACTATCCGAAGTAGTCTGGAAAATGCGAAAAAACAAAAGGAAAACAGATGGTCTATTTGGAAGAACTATGCCAAAACCTTCACGGCTCTGGGAAGTGTAAACTTGCATCAATCCCTGTTGTAGACCAGAGCTTTGATCCTGCATGGATTCAACAAGGTGTTTGCTTGTCAGTCTTGCTCGATGCATTCTTCCTCGACAGCAGATTGATCAATTCCTGTAGTGCCCTGCAGGTTGAGCAGTGCAAGATCGATCTTTGCTTCTTGGGTCAATATGCCTGGCTTTGCTTAAGGTGTTTGAATAAAAAACACTATGGGTGAAGCTCCCTTCTGGAGTGTGTGCTTGTTTTGTATTTTCTTTTTTAATACGGCTCCTTAAGCAAGTCCAAGTATGGAAGGTGTGGGCGTTGCCGCCCGATGTGACCAACACGGCTCTGAAATTATGAGGATAAGTACAGCCAATGTGCCCGTGGTGTCCTTCCAAGATGTGTCTGGTGGCCAAAGTGACATGGCACCGGAGCCCGTTTCACTCACCAACCTCCATTGACCTCCCTGAAATCTCTCGGTCTTTGTTCGGTGAGAAAAAACCAGGGTGACCAACTCGCGCCGTGACCAACTGCCGTGACCCACATCCATCTTCATCAGTTCGCAGCTCCCCGAAACCATCGCTGAGACCTTGAGACCCGAAGGAGGCCGTATCCCCGAGCTTTCGTGCCCTACGTTGGGGCACGAAAGACCAACCCCAAGGTTTTGGGAGGTGAACCCTTGGGGTTCCAAGCTTTGAAAGGCCAAAGAGGGGTAGAAAGAAGGATTAAAGAGCACGTCGATTGGAGCAAAGCGCCAAGCTGTTGACAGGACCAGAGTTTGGTAGAGTTCTAATCTATTGGACTGTGATCTTGCCAGATGAAGTGGACCCCCTTCAGAACCGGATGACAGCAGTATGCAGCTATACATTCCAGCAGCCTACTACTGGAGCTACCAGCACCAGGGGCGCTCCCCCCAACTCCCAGACTTCGAACACATCTTCTGAACTTGAAGCGGCTCTTGGCACTTGCTTGCTCTCCTGACAGGATCGACCATGTCAAGTGGATCTGTTGCAACAACTATGCGGCCATTGGATCATTGGAATCCACCGTTGGATCGTGATGGGAAGGTATACGGAGCCCTTGAAACATGACACAGGTTGTAGTTTTCCACATGTTCCACACCTATGTTTTGCACCAGTTTTGTTGTGTCATGCCCGGTCATGCCTGCACGTTTCCGAGGTCAGTTCTTTGCCCAGGCCCTATACCCTATAGTAGGTCATGAGTTCCGTTATGACGTGCCACTAAGGTTACCTCAATGAGATTGAGAACCTTGGTTTTGCTGTTTTTCTGTTGACAGTTCCCGATTGTTTGGGTGAATCCATTTTTTGGAATCCCCCCCAACAAAAAGGTGTGGGAGAAAACCAAAGGACGGAATCCACGTATTTTGCCAAGCCAAAGTCCCAGGAACTACGGCTCAGTGTCTGCCAACGTCTCAAGGCTCATGGGTTTTGACGTGAAGCCACTGGGCTTTTTGCCGTCGTTCCGCGCTTCGGTGTCTCACCACCAAAGCGACGAGCTGTTTTCGCTGGGTGTATGTTCTTTTTGGCGTCGCATGGCACCCTGCTTGGACCCGGCGTTTCGTTTCACATCGCTTTGGCACTCAGAACAGGAGCCTGGAAAGCCGTAGCTTCGCTGGGACTGGAGTGGGTACCTCGGGAACACCTGATCCACCGGACTGACCTGGTTCTAGATCCTCCTGGACCCTCCTGGCACCTTTCATGATGAACAAGTGTCAAACACATCACCGTGCCGACCTGGTTCGGTGGCAGTGGATCCGTAGGGAATGTGTCAAAATTCCTGAGGAGAAATGACTGGAGTGGAACCCTAAGGTGGAGCCGTGCACGAAAAGCGAAGTCATCGGTGCATCGGGCGTGAAGAGAGAAAGCGAAGCGTTGCTCTTGGCCGTCCTAAGGACTTGTTCCAAGTATCAAGCTCTTCTCAATTTCACAGATCAGGCGATGGCCTTGGTTCAGGACCTGCAAAAGGCATATCCCAGGCGAGAGAGGGTGGAGGTAGAAAGATAGAGAAAGAGAGAGAGGCAGATGTGTGTGTGTGTAGGCGTGTGATAGCGTGTGTAGGATTCAAAGCCGCCTTTGCGCGTTAGTTTGCGCCATTTTGTGTTGTTGTGGTTGTTGGTTGTTGGCTGTTCGTTGATGGTTGTTGGTTGATGGTTGTTGGTTGTGGTTGTTGTCGTTGCTTTGCATTGTTTTTTGTTGTTGTTGTTGTTGTTGTTGTTGTTGTTGTTGTTGGTGGTGGTGGTGGTGGTGGTGGTGGTGGTGGTGGTGGTGGTGGTGGTGGTGGTG